CCCCCACACACACACACACACACACAAACAAACACACACACACACACACACACAAAATGCATATGGAATAAGTATTAAAGATGATATTTTAATGGTGTGGTTTTAGAGATAACCAGAATAAACATCTCTCCGGTCAAAACGCAATATACACAATTTGACCAAATGGATCTCACCAATACAATCGTTATATTATTACAATAAAACAATCAAGAATAAAAATTGATGAGGAAAAACTGTTAAAAAAAGAGAAAGAAAACACACAGTCTCTTTGTTTTTCCAGTGATCTTCTTCCAGCTTTTCCAAAAAAAGTGAAACTGTTGACTTTCACAACCATCTGTGCGATCAATCGGCATTGAAGCAGAATATGTTGGCTCGCAGTTCTCCAAAACTGCAGTCCACAAAAATAAAAATTAAAAAGTCAAAAATTGGAAATTTGGCTTCAAAAACTCCAGAAAAAACTCTTTCAGACTTGCTGGTTTCTAGGCAGACTTTAGAGACCTGATTACTGCCAAAACATTGACATCGTTTTACAAACATTACATAAATGCATATATATTTTAATATAGTTTAATCCGGAAGACAATTTCTCAGGATTTCTTGACAAATACAGTCCGATACTTTAAACAGTGATCTCTACCCTCAAACATTCAGCCAACTTCAACATTCAGGTAAGTCATATTGCAAAGCTGAAACTCTGAGGTTTATTTCATATTTCTCGGTGTCACTGACACAAACTGAGTTTATGACTCAAGAACAATCTTAACAGTCGACTGGTTAAACAGTATCTGCTGGTGATCAGTCTACATAAAAGACAGGGACATTTGCTCACCGTCTTTTGAAGACTGCAATGAAAAATACTAAAGTTGAATAAGTCTATGTGCAGCTTTTAACAGATATTCCAGCACCAACGATAGAAGTGCTCTGCTACAGTCCTTCGGATTTGGCTTGATCAAACCGTTTATCATTGAGAAATAAATGCCAAAGGAGTTGTCAATGTTACTTTTGCCCTCAAAATAGATATTTCGTAGTTCACAGTGACTTTTTCCTCACCGTCTAGCAGTAAATTAAAAATGATTTATTTTGCAATGGCGAAACGCCACTGAAAATTGTGTGTACGTATCAGCAGTTTGGATCTTCAGTGTGCAGAAAACAGTATATCAACTACAGCACTTCACAAACACGACGGACGTTTCTGGAAAGACAAAACTGACCACTGCTGTTCATGAAACAGATTCTATGAAAAATAAGAAAGTGAAGCAACCCACACACAAATTATTCATAAAACCACTGTGAATTGCGAATGTTTTATCAATTCTATCCAAAACCATTTTTGCATAAATTTTAATTCCATGCAATGATTTATACAAGAATGGTTTATGAATGACTTGAATGAATGAGGCTCAATGATTGTAGCTAGTATTTTTGAGATTTAAACAACATCATTCACTTAAAATGACAGAATGAAGTACCCAGAAACAGAAAAGCACAGGAAGAGAGAAACAATCTTGTGAACAGGTACCAGACCTCTTTTGTGATGGCTACAGAACCTCAGTGAGAACACCTCAAGCACACACTAATTGAACATGCATTTATGGGGTCAACATTATTGGCACGTTGCGTTTCGAATATAATAATGTAACCTATTTCAAACTTTCAGCCACGTGATGCGTTTAAACGTCAAAAACAAAACTAAAAAAACTAAACGTTAAAGCAGAACAGATGTTTGATTTGAGAAGGAACCAGAAGAGGACGTTCAGCTGAATTTGGAATGGAACAAAACGAAATCTCTATACAAATCTTTGGAATCTTGCAAAAGCAGTCAATAGAGATAACGGACAGATGAAACCCTTGTGTTTAGAGAAAGAGTGCTAGAAAATGACAAAACGAGTGTGACAGTGCTGAGATGAGGCCACTCCTCCAGTGTGACGGCCAATAGGAAGCCGTGTGGGTTTACTCGAGGGGTGTGGTTTAGCGAGAGCCCCGCCCTCACAGACTTGGTCCCCAAGCACAGTCTGTCTTTTAACCGGCAGGATCAGCAGAGAAAGTCCTTAATTTGAGCGTAACGGAGCATCGTCTAAGAGGTCCTCCAGCGAGCCCGTGTCCTCCTGAGACGACTCCTTCCTGTCTTCTGCTTCCAATCGGGTCTTTTTCGTGGCACTGGGCGGGGCGTTCTCTTGAAGAAGCTCTTTGGCGAGAATGTTTGTCACGGCGTGACCGGCTCCTCTCCGATTGTTGGCTGAAATGGAAGGGGAAATAATAAATTAAAGGGCAATTAAAAAGATATTCAGTTTCACGGAGGTCAAACGTCATACTTAGGGTCACTCTTTGAGGTCAGACACAGGTGTTAGAGTTCAAAGGTCATTGTTTAAAGCACTGCAGTCAAAAACAACCAACAAATTACCTTTTTATAGGAATATTCCAGGTTATTTTCCACTTAATGATCAGTACATACAATCATTTCAGCTCGTTCCTCAGTTATAAAAACAGACCACATTTTACAATAATTCTAAATAAGCTTAATGGATTGGAAGGTTTAAAAGCATAAATGCGAAGCTCATATTGTTGTTAAATCACTAAAATGTAAATGCGTTGTATGATGAAACCATTATTTGAGCTACTCCGCAAACAATTACTTATAAATCAAGACATTTACTTGAGAAGCAACATGACGAAGTATTAAGTCATGTTTTCTGAAAAATGTATCAAATTTAAGAGTGATATTTTTTATAGAGTTTGATATGCATACTTAAAATGAGAAAAAATATCAACTATTGCAACCTATCACAGTTTATCTCAGACTTGATATAAACTTGCAAAATATAAACTCAGAATTGAGAGATATATTAAAACAAGTACATTACCATTTAATTCTTTTTTATTCAGCGGCAGAAACAAACAAAACAAAACAATACAAATTGAGATAAAAAGCAATTAACTATGTCTCAAGTTTATATCTCGAAAAAGTCTGAATTTTGAGATATAAATTTGCAATTGTAAGAAAAAAAATAAGCTTCCATATATTTGTTCTTGTTTTAAGCATAAAGTGAATTACTTTTTATTTATGTATTTATTGCAGAAAACAAGACTGTATAGTTAAGCCAATTCACTTCTCAAATAACTATCTTGATTTAAGAAAGTTTAGATATTTTACTAAAAAAAGAGAAAAATACTGAGTTAGAAAATAATTTCTTGCACTAGGTGGCTGGACATGTCACAATCATATAATCGAGCATGTTTTCAGTGTTATTATTTAAGTGTTTTACTCTAAATGTGACCTACAACTGAGGGATGAGCTGAAGTCATTGTCTGTGATAATCTAAAGCAATTGATTCTATTCATCCACATCAAGTTGAAAATAACCCGGAATATTCCTATAAACACCATCAGATTCATATCCTGATATACGAGACAGCTGCAGAACATCATATATGTCATCATGTGCTGGTGGTCATGTTGGTATATTTAGGTCAGTGTGAGGTTGTCGAGCGTTTACACACAAGATAAACACTCCAATAACGGCTGCAGAACAAAACTCCTGTGGTGAGACATTCATAGGAAAATATTGTCTGATATATGTCCTATTCCATTCACATTCTCCAGCCTGTATGCAAAACAAGACCATGCAGAGGAAACCATGATATCACACACACACACAATCCCCAGTGCCACTGATAACGATCTCTGAACAAACATCTGTAACGAAGCATGCAGAGCGATAGAGAACACACGCACACACACGTTACCAAGCAGGTGTCCAGTGTGAGCTGTGATAAGGACAGCACTGAGTCTGTTGGGGAGAAAAAGTCGTTAGGGGAGCGTTTATAGCTTCGGGTTGTGAGTGTCAGACAGACAGGACCCTTACAAACATTTACCATGGTTACAGAGTTAAAGCAGTTAAGTGTTCCTGCTATAAAATGATGGTAATGTTCTATTACTAAACAGGTCTAAACAGGTTTCCAGCAGTAAGATTTTTTTTTGAATGCCCCAGGATGATCACAGTTTATCAGAAAAAAGTCAGTCAGTCACAGTTCACTGTTTTACCTCAGTATTTTTGTCTCAAATATCTAAACATTTTTAAATCAAGATGCATTTACTTGAGATGCAAAATTACTTGAGACAGTAAAATTGCTTTCTTGTTTTCACTTAGAAATGTATCAAAATTAGGTAAGTTTATTCTTATAAAAATAGAAAATGGGAATAGGAATATCTGACATTTTTATGTCATTTTGCGTCTCCAAGTATATCTTGATTTAAAGGAACACACCACTATTTTTGAAAATAGGCTCATTTTCCAGCTCCCCTAGAGTTAAACAGTTGAGTTTTACCGTTTTCGAATCCATTCAGCCGATCTCCGGGTCTGGCGGTAGCACTTTTAGCTGCAGCTTAGCATAGATCATTGAATCTGATTAGACCGTTAGCATCTCGCTCAAAAATGACCAAAGAATTTCGATATTTTTCCTATTTAAAACATGACTCTTCTGTGGTTACATCGTGTACTAAGACCGACGGAAAATTAAAAGTTGTGATTTTCTAGGCCGATATGGCTAGGAACTATACTCTCATTCCGGCGTAATAATCAAGGAACTTTGCTGCCGTACCATGGGGGCAGCAGGCGCAATGATATTATGCAGCGCCTGAAAATAGCCTAACTTCCGCCAACATAACCAACGTGACCACCTGCTTGCACAGGGAGCGTGCCTTCCGTTGGAAGTTACCTAGCTGGGGACTATTTTCAGGCAGTTTTATGTCAATTATTCATGCAGCCCTACTAAGGAGTTTTCAGATGTAGATAAATGTTAAATGGCTATAAATGCTCAAGTGAAATACATTTTGAATTTAGCTAGATGCAAACTATACATGAAACAGGGGCATGTGGCATAAAAGCCTTCAATTTCGTGACATGGTAATATGCCTCAGTACTGGTGTACTCTCTAATCACATACTTAAGTACATACTTCATCGTACTCATGCTGTTCACATCATCGTTAGAGAAGTACATCAAGTATGAGAGTTAAATGCACACTGTAAAAAATGACCGTGAATTTAACGGTAAAAGACTGTAAAAATGCTACTCATCACCACCTGCATTTGGTGGTTATCAGTGTATTACAAAGGTACAAAACAGATTTCAGTACTTCAATAGGTTGGTATATTAACATTATATCAGTTAATGAAATTACGGTATTTAACTGTAAATTTAAGTTAAAACCGTAAAACCTAAAATGTTGCTACCGTAATTTTTACGGTAAAATTCCGGCAACCACAGCTGCCGGTTTTTTACCATAAATTTTACAGAATTTTTTTTACAGTGCAGCCACAAGTTAACATTAATCTGTCTAACAAAAGCCTTGTAAAGCCTACAGATTTTAGCTCAATTATTTATATTTTTGATCATTTTCCATACAGTGTCTGCCAGATATGAAGCAGCACAGCATATTTTTATACATACATTTGCATTTGTGTCTTTGTAAGCATGTGATTAAAGCAGCAGCTGCCGTCTTTCGCTCAGTATCTCTCTGATTGGCTGATGAATTATTATGCATAGGGTCAGGGGTCAGAGGTCACAGGGCGTCTTCTGTCTCTACACTGCAGGCCTGCGGTCTGTCTAAAGGCATCTAAACTGTGTGTGTGTGTCTGTGTGTGTGTGAGTGAATGCAGAACGAACAAGTGGTCAGAATGGCTGTGTGTTGGTATGAGAGTGTGTCTGTGGCATACGTTGAGGGGTTAAGTCACAGGCACCGTGTTCATTTTGCAAATATGTTTATGTGTTGAGAATTCATCTATGCTGCCTTAACATGCTGTCTAGGTAGGGAACTCACTAGGTTTTGGAACAGAGCTTGTGTGTGTGCTGCTACAGAAAAGCTAAAAATACAAAACACACCACTGATGACTCATGCTACACACAGAGAGATTTGGACTCGATTCCAAGTGAAATATACGATCTCAAGTAGCCAAGTAAACAGAGTAAAGACTGTAGAGAGATATAGAAAAGAGAGGGAATAAAAGATGGTAAAGTAAAAAATGGCCTGATCGAGGGAGGCAAAATGAGCGAGTTTGTCACGGAACTAAATACAAAAGATAAAAAGCACGGGGAGGCGGAGAGAGAGAGAGAGAGAGAGAGAGAGAGAGAGAGAGTATGCATGGTCATTATTGCCACATAGCAGCACATCTGGATTTATTCAACAACAGATCCAGTTACACACACACAGCGCTACTCCACACTGTTTGTAAAATACAGTGAAAAGAGGGAAAATAAAGCACACATGGCTTACTATTGTGTGCAGTACTGAACAACATCTCTATTGAAATATGCTAAAATCACACCTTGCATTTCAAAACTTTGACATTAATGGGACATGTGCACACATACACTACCATTCAATTTTTTTTTTTTTTTTTTTTTTAAACAAGCCTCTTCTGCTCACCAAGGCTGTATTTATTTGAGCAAAATTACAGTAAAAATAGTAATATTATAACATTTTTTTTCAATTCAAAATAACTGTTTTCTATGTGAATATATTTTAAAATGTAATTTATTCCTGTGATTTATTTTTCAGATTTTTTTAATGGATAGAAAGTTAAAAAGAATAGCATTTATTTGAAATATAAATATTTTTTAACATTATAAATGTCTTTACTGTGACTTTTGATCAATTTAATGCATCCTTGATGAAAAAAAACCCCCATTAATTTCTTTAAAAAAATCTTATTGACCCCAAAATTTTTAATGATACTGTACATTTACATTTGGGAGATGCTTTTATTCAAAGTGCATTCAAAGTACACATTTTTTTTATCACGCTTTCCCTTGGAAATCAAACCCACAAACTTAGCGTGTGTGTGTGTCCTCTTTCTATGTTGTTCTTTTATCTATTATTGTGACTTTTAACATAGTGATTTTCTGCATTTTGTATTCCCTCAACACTAGCAATCCCTGCACATGATAAATAAAAAATCAGACGCGTGTGTTACCTGCTTGTCGTGGTCCTCTCTTCCTCTTGAAAGCAGCTCCAGACTGCAGCGCCTCCAACAAACCATCCATGATACCAGTCTCATCATCTGAAACACACAAATACAACATTAAACACACATACAAACAATTAACATTATACATAAATAATATTCTCATCACTATGAAACACACACATCTCACATGATGTATTACTGCTGAAGCACGCATGTAGAATTTCAGAGCAATAGTCTCAGCCACAGTGACATCAGATGAAAGAGGAGCAAAGGATCATGGGAATGTAAACATCCCAAGAGAAATACTGTACCACACACACACGAGGGAAAGGACAACATGATCTGAAAATAATTTGTGTAAAATAGTTTGTTGAAAGTGCGTGTTTTCATATGGTGAACAGGTTTCAGGGTTGCTTTCATGTGTGTGTATAGACAGATCAACCAGGTCCTCTCTGGACAACATGGGGTTAAAGATTTATGGGTCTAATATCCCCTCCCCCACACACACACACACACACACACACGCATACACCTCCCCCCATAAACACATGTAGACACACCATCCTTCATAAGCTTGCACACACATAATGGACCAATAACATTGACTAACAAAAACACTGTGCAGCCCAAACACACACTCACTCACACACTCACACACACACACACACACACACACACACACACACACACACACACACACACACACACACACACACACACACACACACACACACACACACACACAGAGCTGTCTGCAGTGCACACACACCACCATGAGGTGCATTACAGGAACAGCACACTGATCTAGGGAAATTTCCTCGCTGCTGCATATTATATTTAACATATATTATTACATATTACATCACTACTAAAAAAAAAAAGGTTAAAAAATTAAGATTTCTTTTTTATAACACACAATTAGCATTTCACTCCTGTTTCCAGTGTCCACCAAAATACCATGGTTACCTTCTGCTGTTTGAAGAGATACCATATTAATTTACAATAATTTTACAGCTGTAACATTAACTGCACTAGGCTGGCTGACATGACACTTCAATTTAGTGTTCCACTGGCCCAAATATTATGAACTATTTATATTAGTAAATGGTTTATAATTTAAACTAACCATTTAAGCTATTATTTTAATACATTATATTTTATATATATATATATATATATGATATCATGAATTATGATCTTTCTCTACTGGTGTTATGAAACATTACTTAAGTTTAAACTACTTGCATTACTTGTACTTAATGCATTAATATAAATCAAACTAAATGTATAACGGTACTTTTATTATAATACACTTTTACTTGCTATACAGTAAGGTCCCATTAGTCAATGCATCAATAATTACAAGTCAATGCATTAATAAAACAATAAACAATACATTTGTTACAGTATTTATTAATCTTTGTTAAGGTTAGTTAATTAAACTGTTTATTGTTATGCCATGGCCATGTTAGCTCAGGTCCATTACATAATTTTAACAGATACAGCTTTTGATTTTTATAATGTATTAGTAAATCTTGAAATTAACAGTAAGATTTATGAATGCTTTAAAAGTTTTTTTTTCTTCTTTTTTTTAGTTCAGGTCAACTAATATAATTAACTGATGTTAACAAATGTAACTTTACTGTAAAGTGTTACCATGATTATTGTGCATGTCGTTTTCATTAGTTCACAAAAATTGAGACACTACAGGAAATATTTGTACATTGAAAAAATATTTTACACTGCAGGGCCTAGTAACTAGTTTGATTAAAAGGATGATCACACACTAAAATTCAGACAATGAAACAGTTAAATTCTATGTCATCTGTCAACTAACAGATTTGTATTTTGGTAGAAACTATGTTTACCATGGTCAATTTTTGTAAGGGGCACATGATTCAACTCAGTCTGTTAGTGAAGCACTATAATTCCCCACACAGACAGATTCTGAATGAATATCTTTCCTGTTTTGGCTGCATTAGACCATAATCAGCCATTAAACTCACTCATAGTCTCTCATCTGAAGATTACAAAACACATGAGCATCATCACAACACAGACCAATCACATTGCAACATCTGTTTCCACACACAGAGTATCTAATACACAACACTGACACCTACCGACCACCCACAGGAGCTGCTGTTGTTGGAGTGTGTGTGTGTGTGCGCATGTGTGTGACACTGTAATGTGGGAAAGACTTTTATTTATCTAATTCTCAGGGTTTGACTGCTAAACTAAAGATAACTTGTGTGTGTGTGTGTGTGCGTTTGTTTGAGAAAGTGGGAATGTCAAGGACAAACATTTAAAATATTCAACCCTGAGAGTTTCAATGAACCTCGTGTGTGTGTGTGTGTGTGTGTGTGTGTGTGTGAGACAATTCTATATAAAAGAACATTCTATACAAATGTGTGTGTGTTATATGTGTGTTCGCTCAACTGACATTCAAATCTGTCACCTGTATGCAAATCAAACCTCATAAATTACCAAGGGATTTGGTCACTTAATTTATTAGATTATAAATGACACTTGCTTATTGCATTGCCATTTTGCATATTGCATTTTAAATTGAATTTCGCTACCTATATGCTTCCATAGCTTTTATTGTCTGATTAAAAGACATTCAGACATTTTTAAGTGTGTCTTCATTCAGTCCAGATATTGCCTGGCCCGCTGCATGTGTAAACAGTATATGTTGGTTAAGCTGATATTGATTTTTTAGCTGCAAAAGTGACTAAACTTGACTATCTGCTGTTTTTACAGCACTTTTCAATCAGAGTTGCTATTGAAACAATGAAAAATCATTTCCTATAACTGAAAAAAAGAAAAGAAAGAAATTTAAGTATTAGATGAAAATCTTAAAATTAAAAACTTAAAGGAAAATTGCAAATGTTGTCTTGGCAACTAAAGGAAATAAGTAATCTAATTTTAAATCTAAATAAGTAATCCAATTTTTAAAAATGGAAAAATTAACAAACAAAAGTGTTAAACAAAAACTAATAATTTTTTTTTTAAAAGGAACATAACTAATACACAATAACTATAGTTAGAAACTAATTTATAACCACTTTGGTTAATATGAACTACAGTACGTATTAATCTTAGTATTATGTCATATTCAACATTTTTATATTCTAAAGATTAATGAACTAACATGAAGAATGAACAACTGTATTTTTAATAACTAACATTAATAAAGATTAATAAATGCTGTTGATATGTTGATCAATCTTAATACCTGTTAGGTAATGAATTAACTAATGTCAACAAATGAGACTTTATTACTATGCATACACTTTTTAGACACAATTACTATTTATACATATACTATTATACACTTTTTTTCTATCCCTCCTTCAAACACACACACACACACACACACACAGGTCTGCAGAAATAATGAGAGTGGAAATTTGGAGCCCCAAAAGTTTCAAACTATAGCCAGGCTAGAATAAATATCATACATTTTCCCCTGATTTACAGAAGATGCCCACTAAAATGTCATTCAGTGTAACAATCTTGTCAGGCATATTTACAACACAAATGTTGTTGCCCCATATTAAAAGACTAATTACTTTCACCCCAAATACTAATTAGTTGTTATTTTACATTTTTAAAATTTCCCACTATCCGAGGTTTTGCCCAATTGTCAGTAAGAATTTTTTACTCATTTAAAACACAATAAAATTTTATATGCTCCCTTATTCTTTTATATATTTTAATATGTACACATCAGAATAAGCATGTTGTTTGAATTTTTACATAAATATTGTGTTACACTGAATGACAATGTAACATTACTTCAACCAAATTTTGACATTTTATCCTCCAAAAACTATTTTAAAACCTTAAAAGTAGACACTTTACTTACATTTAATGTGCTTTCTATGGACATAAAATCACTTTTGTAAATTTCTTTTGATGCGGACATCTTAACGTCTTTGACCCACATACATACAAAAAGAGAGTGTGAGATAAAGAAAGAAAGAGAAAGAGAGAGACACACACTCACACATATACAAAGAGAGAGAGAGAGCTCATTTATTATATTAGATGTACTACTGTGGCCAAATGACTTCACATGATCCACATTAAATGCTGAGTGTGAATCAGAATGTGATGGGGGAGGAAAAAGAGAAAACTGTGTTCATGAAGAGAGAGGCATGATAACAGGAAACAGATTTTTATTTTTTTTTCTCCAAAATGGTCGGAATCTCACAAGAACATGTCCAGGTCACATTTCACCCCAAAACCAAGAAAAGAAAGGAGAAAAAAAAAAAAAAGAAATTATATTTGAAAATTATGTTTTCTTATTGTTTTGAGGAGAAATGTCTGGATGTGTCACACACACACACACACACACACACACACACACAATGTGAATCTTTACCATCATTGATGTTGGGAATCTGTCCAGCGTTCATTCTCTTCTGTTTCTCCTCCTTCTCTTTGTCTGCTTTCTCTCGCGCCAGTTTGGCTCGACGAATCTTCTCCTCTGATTCTTTCCGTTTCTGGTTCTCTTTCGCCGCTTGCTGTAAAACAAACACACACAAGTTAAGTTATGACCTCAAAATCTCTGATTCACATTTTGTGTTTGTTAAGCTGAAGGAGAATAAAGTTTATAGAGCATTATAATGAACAGATAAGATAAGTGTGTTTGTTTTTGACATGGAGTCTCAGATCCCTTTATTATACAGAGAATTAGGGCTGGGCGATAAAACGATAATTATCACGATATAATTTTTCCTCGATACACTGATATAAAGAGTTCGATAAATGGTCGATATAATGTTTATTTATAATGTTTCCGCCAAAAGCGGAAGGAATCAGCACGCAACACGGACCGTTTATCCGCTCGACTCAGAGTCAAACGGCAGACGCTTTTACATGTTTGGTTCGATTAAAACGAACCCTGGTGCGATTGCTCTGTTAGTGCGGTTCATTTGAGCATGTGTGAACGCTGCAATTCGAACCCTGGTGCACACCAAACAAGCAGTTCGCTTCCAAACGAACTCTGGTGCGGTTCGAAAGATATATGAACGCAACACGGACCAAATACTTCTAAACGAACCAAAAACAGGAAGTAATGACAAGATGCGATGCTATGCGACATGATTTGATGACGCGGTGTAACCAAAACAAAATGAGCAGAGGGCAAACGTGGAGCAACGATGAGGTAAAGTGCCTTTTATGAGCTCCTTGTGAGTTTGCAGGTGGTGAAAATAAAATTATGTACACGCAAGAATGAGCACGCTTAGTCCACCAGACGGCATTAGGTGTGTTTGACTTAAAGCGGCACTGAGCAGACCGATCGTTTAATGGATGCTTTGATATCATACACCCGCAGCGCCGCTTTAAGTCAACGCATCTTTTGTTTGGGGTGTTTGGTGAGTTCCGTCACGATATATACGTCATTCAAGCCGACCAATCAGGTAGTGAACGTATCACTATGCCTTTAGGTTCGGTGTCAAAAATGCCAATGTGAACGCTAAGTGGACCAGGACCAAATGTATCATTTTCCTTTTTGGTCCGGACCAAATGAACCAAACGAACCGAACTACAAGTGTGAACACACCCTCAGTCACACGACACTAAAGAGCGCTGTGAGATCCAGTGTGAAGCGCTTGAATTCACAGAAGAACACAGATGACTCTGTGATTTAAACTAGTTTAGAGCCAGATGAAATCAGTCAGAATAATTACATTTCACCATATAAAAATTAGGTTGTTACAATTTTTACAGATGTTGCTGTTTTTGATAATGAACATAAATTTACATCTGCATCCTAACTCAAGCTACTGTCAAATGTGCATTTGTAAGAGACAACATTTTTTATATTAATATTGCAGCCTGCACTGCAAACTGTGCTGAAGATACGTACCAGGAACACAAACCTGTTTCATGATTTGAAACAATCACTCATTAGAACGTGCAGAACTAAGAAATTATTTTTTCTATATTGATATTTATTTTGTTAAGGAAGAATGACTGGAAAAGTGTAAAGAATTCAAAAGCGTGAAGTGTTTGTCATGTTCTGACCATAAAGAGTAGTTTAAAACCACTATTAACGGTCTGATTTCTACAACTTTCACTTAGGAGCAAAAATCGGCCTTTAAACTTGAAAGAAATAAAGATTTGAAATTTATCGTGATAATTATCGATATCGACTGATATGAAAAATTTGATCGTGATAATTTTTTTGGCCATATCGCCCAACCCTACAGAGAATATAAGTATGTCTAGACAAAAGTCTGTTTTAATATACTAAACAGACTGATGACTGAACCATCTGCCACACACACACACACACACACACGCACACACACACACACACACACACAGACACAGAGAGCACAGGTGCTCATGTGTGTATGAATTCTCTCTCTACACAGAAATACAAATGTACCACTCAAAAGTTTAGGGTCAGTAATTATTATAATTTTTTTTTAATTAATACTTTAATTCAGCAAGGATGAATTAATCAAAAGTAACAGTAATATATTTAGGCATTTTATACCATAACAAAATATTTCAATTTCAAATAAATGCTGTTCTTTTGAACTTTGTTCACCAAAGAATCCTGAAAAAGATCACTGTTTCCACAAAAATATAAAGTAGCATGACTGTTTTCAACAATAATTATAATAAAAAAATGTTTCTTGAGCAGCAAATCAGCATATTAGAATGATTTCTGAAGGATCATGTGACACTGAAGACTGGAGTTATGATGCTGAAAATATAGCTTTTCTATCACAGGAATAAATTACATTTAAAAATATATTCAAAATAGAAAATAGTTATTTTAAATAGTAATAATATTTCACAATATTACTGTTTTTACTGTATTTCTGATTAAATAAACACAACCTTTGTGAAGAGACTTTTAAAAATTTTATTTTTTTTTTTACAAATTTTACCAACCCCAAACTTTTGGACAGTAATGTTGCACTTGAACAAACATTGGTTACAGATGTAATAAACCTTACAAAAAACACACAATGTGTACATTTGTTTCTTAATTGAATAAAACTCAATCTTTCTTACACTTTAACCTGTTGAGTCATTTGCAGCCCATTTTACTTCTGTACTACAGTATGCTGCATTTCTGAGCCAAAACAGAATATTCAAAGGAAGAAAAAAACTGTATGGCAGGACTTGATTTCTATCATGAAGAATTGATTGGATGATGAAAAGTGACTATATGAAGATGCTTGAAAAATAAGAGTGACTGCTGATGTCATACAAAAAAGAAAGTTGTTTCAGACTATGAAAAATATGAAGAATATATAACACGCACTGATGATTCGTTCACAATAGGACCAAGAAAGAAATTAAACAGGAGCCATGTTTATTTAATGTGGACTTGAAGGGAAACGTCCTGCATTTTAAAGATTAAAGATCTCAGAGTTGTACATTTTAAGGTCTTGACTTAAATATCAATAAACTTATCAACTTTTATCCATGGTAAATATCGGTCATATTTTCAGGCGACCGCCGGTTGTGTTCTCACCTGGAACATGTTCCTGAAGTTGTTGAGGTCACCGAAGAACTCTTCTGGACTCATTTTCTTGGGGTCGAACACAAAGTATTTGCCCAAATCCTCATACTGTTTCTCCATGTTCTCATGCATCAGCTTGAGCTTCACGAATTGCTCCTGAGCCGTCGCTACAAAACTGTACACAACTTTGTCAAGGGAAATCACACGCTATTATGATTCACTGTATCTCAGTTGTGTAGGCATCAACATTTATACTTGTAAAACATTATTAAACACAAAATGAGTTGTTTTATCCCTCATCAGAGAGCAACTATAGCACTATTGTTTGAGGGAATGACTGTGGAAACCAAAGTGACACTTCCTGTCATGCAACAGGCCCGGGAGGAAGTAAAGGATATGGTCATTTTCTCTACGAATTTGTCCCTGTCGCTCTGCGGAGGGGGGAACGTCTCAATGTCTTTCTCCAGGTCTTTAATCTGCTTTCCCATCTGATCTAGATTCTTCTGAAGCGTCTCTGCTGATACTGAGAGAGGAAGAAAAAATTATAAAGATAAACACACAACTGTTCTGAAATGAGATTAGTAGAACACTACCATTTAAACAAGTTTTTAATGACTTTGAAAAAAAAAATATTATTACAATTTAAAATAACTGTTTTCTATTTGAAAATGAGTTGTTTTATCCCTCATCAGAGAGCAACTATAGCACTATTGTTTGAGGGAATGACTGTGGAAACCAAAGTGACACTTCCTGTCATGCAACAGGCCCGGGAGGAAGTAAAGGATATGGTCATTTTCTCTACGAATTTGTCCCTGTCGCTCTGCGGAGGGGGGAACGTCTCAATGTCTTTCTCCAGGTCTTTAATCTGCTTTCCCATCTGATCTAGATTCTTCTGAAGCGTCTCTGCCGATACTGAGAGAGGAAGAAAAAATTATAAAGATAAACACACAACTGTTCTGAAATGAGATTAGTAGAACACTACCATTTAAACAAGTTTGTAATGATTTTGAAAAAATATATATTATTACAATTTAAAATAACTGTTTTCTATTTGAATATATTGTAAAATACTATTTATTCCTATTATGTAAAGCTGAATTTTCAGCATCATTACTCCAGTCTTCAGTGTCACATGATCCTTCAGAAATATGCTGATTTGCTGCTCAAAAAACATTTCTTATTATCAAAAAACAGTTGTGCTGCTTCACATTTTTGTGGAAACTGTGATGCATTTTATTTTTCAGGATTCTTTGATTAATAGAAAGTTGAAAAGAACAGCATTTAATTAAAGTAGAAATATTTTGTAATTATAAATGTCTTTACTGTCACTTTTGATAAATTTAATGCATCCTTGTTGAATAAAAGTATTATTATTATTATTATTTTGCAATCTTATTGAGCCAAACTTTTGAATGCTAGTTTATATAAAATAATAAAAGTACCATCAACGGGATTGAGACAGACCTTTGCTGGCTTTCTCCACGTGGGTGAGCTCCTCTGAGAAGTTCATGACCTCGGGATACTGTTCTTGACACATTTCCACCAGGAAGTGCAATAGAGTCTGTTTCTGATCGGCTGATTTAGTGTCTCTCAACTAAACACACACACATTTGTTTACTGCTAATTTTGTAGGGACCAAAACATTAGGCACCTTCCAAACTTTGTACAAACTGTTGACTCAAGCAAATAAAAAGGCACAAATCTCATGTTCTTTAGAAAGAGAACTATTGGATATGTTAGATAAGTTATTGCCATACATAAAATGAAGTAGGAATAGTTGCTCTTTTAAAACACATCAGATGCACACACAATGTAGAGTTGACAGCATTTATCAAGCTCATTGATGCAGATGTTGGAAATCACCTTGCACATGTAACTGATGCTGAAGCCGAAAGCTTTGGCGTTGCGTGATCCTGCGTTCATGAAGTTTCCCAGCAGCAGCGTGATCTCCAGCAGTTTGGCGAAGCTCTCACTCTTCTGAAGCTCCTCGCAGGCGGCCTTCACTGCCACTAGGTCCGGCTTGATGTTATTCACCTGCTCATCAAACTGAAGCTTGAAGAGGATAGAGCTCAGACGGGGCTTCAGACGCTTCACTGAACTGATCTAGAGAGAGATATACACATGTGTGACTGTTTGTGAGAAGTCAATGGAGTGCTGATGTATTTTTGTAAGCCAAAACCCGGAAACAGCACTCTTGGTTCCATTATCCTAGAGTCAATACGTTTTTTTCAATGGTTAAATGCCTGATGTAGAGTATTTTATAGTAAAACATACTCCAATAAATCTTTGTTTTATTTACAACTTTGAAGCTTGTAAGTGTGTGTTCCTCACCACAACTCCGAACTGTTCAGACTCGGCCAGCTCCTCGTACTCATCTTTCATCTCTGATAATGAGTTCAGTTGTTCCTGCTCTGGCAGCAGCTTCAGCAAACTCTGAAACACACAGCAGCTGTTTACCACTAGGTAAGGATTCGGGAGAAGACAACGCAAGTTTCGCTATTTTTGTCCATTTTGGTTTGCCTACCAAAACTTTACGAAAAGAGAAAAAAAAAAATCATCAATGATGTTGCATTTCCGAGGCAAAACAGAATATTCTAAAAAAAACAAAAAAACAATAATAATAAATAAATAAATAATTAGGGTGGGACTTGATTTATATAATTGTAGGGATGCACCGATATGAAAATTTTGCCCGATAACGATAACCGATAATCCTGTGTTCCTCACCACAACTCCGAACTGTTCAGACTCGGCCAGCTCCTCGTACTCATCTTTCATCTCTGATAATGAGTTCAGTTGTTCCTGCTCTGGCAGCAGCTTCAGCAAACTCTGAAACACACAGCAGCTGTTTACCACCAGGTAAGGACTCGGGAGAAGACAACGCAAGTTTCGCTATTTTTGTCCATTTTGGTTTGCCTACCAAAACTTTACGAAAAGAGAAAAAAAAAAATCATCAATGATGTTGCATTTCCGAGGCAAAACAGAATATTCTAAAAAAAACAAAAAAACAATAATAATAAATAAATAAATAATTAGGGTGGGACTTGATTTATATAATTGTAGGGATGCACCGATATGAAAATTTTGCCCGATTTCCTTTATATTTGAAAGACGATAACCGATATGTTGGCAGATAAATTTAAATCTTTTTGTAATCAGACTTTTTTAATCAGGCTCTCAAAAACTCTATAAATTCTAACATTTTATAGAATTTTTGAGAACCATATTACAAAAGTCTGACCATTTAAAGCCGTGTCTGAAACACTACAACATCAATCAAACATATACAGTACAGCAGCCTAGTTTGAACCAGTTTAAGTTTTAAAATTAAAAGCCTTACAAATAAATAAAATAATGCTTAAATAATGTAATCAAGTCAATGGACAACATTACTTACGTGTAAAGAATCAAAATGCATGTGCTGTGGATAAAAACGGAATAGCCTCCACATGGACAATAATGAAATGATTTTAATTAAACCATATTGTTGATGAAAATAATAAAATAAAAATAAAAGTGGTGGTCATTATTAAATAATAAAATAAAAATAAAAGTGGTGGTCATTATTAATAATGCATCAGTGATTTTGAAAAAGAAACATCTTGTACAAACATCTTGCTGTAGCTGAAGAGCTGAATAAACACCAGTAAACTGGCGAAGCGCTTTATTAGTGGGTTAATTAGGCTATATGAGAATCAGATATTTCTACAACAAACATAATATTATAACATATATGCACAAAAAGACGCAAATGCACAAGTGAACATGAACTAAGTTACATGCTAGGAATCCTGTTGTGGATGTGCTCTTGCCTCTTCCTGAAACAATGCGCTGAAACACGGCAAATAAACCTAAAGAATTCACAACTTTTTATTACGGTAGTGTTCTCTTTATAATGTTATGTATATGACAGTCCCAATTATAGGTATTAATGTTGTGTATTGCTGTTTGAGCTGCGTGCGCTGAAGCTGATCACAGGTAAACTGAAGCACTCTATTAATGCTCTATTAACTTAACCAAACGCATTCTATATGAGATAAATCATATATATATGCATAAAATAAGCACAATATTGCAACGTACATTTGCACAAAAGGCTGCAAATGCACAAGCGAACTTAACTGTGCTAGTCATGAAGGTCTAGCGCCATTGTGAATGCGCTCGTAAAAACGCGATAAAACACGGGCACACAAAGATTCTATAACATTATTTTACAGTACATGTTCTCATTATAATTTTATGTAGCCTTTATGACAGACTTGCCCTGCACATGTTGCACTTTAACTGTAATCACTCCTTTAACTGTAATCACTCCTTTCTGAAGTGATTCCAGTCATATTTCAAGCAATTCATAACCATCATGGCGAACAAAGCACATCTGAAGTGTCTCTGAAGGAAATAATGCATTTTCTTATTGGGTCGATAAAGATAACAGTAAAAATTAACATTTATCGGCCGATACCGATATGGTGGCCGATTTATCATGCATCCCTATATAAAGGAGAATTGATTGGATGATGAGAAGTGACTCTATATGAAGCAGGTTGAAAAATAAAAGGGGCTAATGATTTCATCCAAAAGGAAAGTTGTTTCTGAAGCAAAGTTATTGTTTTGATAAAATATTACGAATGAAACATTTTTAGTTTTAACATGCACTGAAGATTCATTCACAATAAGACCAAAAAACAAAAGTAAATAGGAGCAAATTTGCTTTCATTTAATCTTGAAGCGAAATGTCCTGCATTTTAAGATTAAGGATCTCAACACTGTAAACCCAAGGTATAGTCTTAAATATCAAAACTACAAACTTTAATACAATACTGATATTGTTTGATTTTTTTCAGTTTTTTTTTTTGCATGCATTATGATGTACTATACAAGTTAAGCCAGATTGCTTTCACAATAACTTTGAAAGGTCCTAAAGCATGTGAACTGAACCCAAGTGGGCTTGTGACAAGTGTTGTGGTTCACTGGTGCACAACAAAGTTCAGAAGACAGCTTTTACACTAATTAAATGAACCAAACTCTGATGTCAAATGGACATCAATGATCCACTTAATAAGAGTGGACTAAATATGACCCTTTCATACACACTCGATCATACCTGCACCATGTTTTCAGTGAGAACTTTCTCGCTGACCTCCAGGATGACATTCTTCATCTCTTCATAAGGCATCCTGTTTGAACCCAAGAATATAGCTGCAACACACACAGAGTTCTGAGTAAACAACACTATAAATGACAGTGTTAAACTAGTGAGATATTTCACATCTAAATGAAGATTCATGCTCGGCTGTTACTCACAGAGATTCTGGGATGTTTTAGAGTCGAGTACCTTCAGCTCCTTCACCTTCTTCTTTTGAGCGTTTTTCTTATCCTCAGATGCCTCTTGATCCTTCTTACCTAGAAAAAGACAGAAAGAGAGAGAGAGGGTAAATACTCGAGTGTTTGAGATATCGGCCTTGGGTTCAAAAAGGACCTGAAAATGATGTTACTTGAAGGCTGGACCCATATCTCTCCCATACACACCCACACACAGTGTTTCACTGTCCTCATAGAGACTAAATGAGCTGATATGACACATCGAGTAGTGACATCGGTGTCCAGTGGTTTTATGTGCTATACTTGATCTGTAAGTACTTTAAACAACAGTTTCAAATTGTTATAATTATCATATATGCAGTTTTTATGACCATGCTATTTGAGAGACTAGATTGAATATTTGTACTTTTAAAAATTCATTTGACACATGACAGCAGTGTTATTTTAGTATTATTTATATACTATTATAACATTCAATAAATTATTAGATTTCACTTACGTTTTAGTTGTAGCAATTTTATGTTTTTTGCTATTTTGTGTTTAGCTTTAATTTTATATCAGTTTTAGTTTTAGTAATTTTAGCATTTTTTTTAGAAATGTTATTTTTTAAATTTCTGTTGAGCTTTTTTCTATTTAGATTTTAGTTTGTGTTTTAGTACTTCGGTTTTTCACTTAATATTTATATTTCATTTTATTCCAGCTTTATTTTAATTACAGAAAACAATGTTTAGTAGTGTTAGTTAATAATAAAACTTTATTTTAAATTTATTAATTTTATTTTTTTCTACTTCTATTTTATTTCAGTTTTAGTACTAAAAGGAATCTTATTTCAGTTAGTTGTCAAGGCAACATTACTAGTTTTAGGTTTTTCATTTAATATTTCAATTTATTGCAGCTCTATTTCAATGACAGAAAACAATTTTTAATAGTTTTGCATTTTCAACACTATATCGAAGGATTAATTAAGTGAACTGCAAAAAAGTAACTTTGATGATGAATTTTAAAAAGGTAATGTGCATGTTATTTGTACTGTACTTGATAGCTGTAAAAATGAATTCATAGCTCAAAATTACAAAGACACTTCATAAAGCATAGGAAGTATCTAATAAAGAAAAGAGAGATCATTATGCGCACGCGCACACGCACACACACACACACAAGTATGCTGGCATCTCTGTTCTAAAGACAGACTTGTGAGGAGCAGGAGGAGGTCAGAGGTCAGAACTCAGGGTCGAGAGTCAAACGCCCATCAGCTTTAATAATGAAACGTGACGACTGAAGTTCACACTACTGACGAGTCTCCAGAGAAACACCACAGACACACACAGCCTCAGATGATCATCAGCTCGTGTGTGTGTGTGTAATAATCACTGAAACACACAATTAAGATCAGATAAACATCTTCATCTCTAACTGCAGTCTGGCCTGTAATTCTCTTCTGTCCTCTCGCACTCTGTCCTTTATTCATTCTCTTCTGTCTCTCTGAATAGTTTCTCTCCTCCATTTTCAGGCTCCTTTCAAACTGATTTTTTTTCTCTCTGTACCTCATTTCCGAGCAGTACATTCATGTCTGGCATCTGTGTGTGTGTGTATTGAGTTACAGCAGCATATGGAAACGCTCAAGAGAGTGATGCGGCTCTGGATTACATTGCGTGCACGCACACACACACACACTTACTTTCACTCTCAGTTTGACAAAGTAGTTCATAAGAACGGCTGCTCATATTCACTTATGTAAGAAACACATGTGTACATGCACAGAACTAAATGAGGATGTGCTTAATCATGTTTGTTCAGATATAAATCTAAAAATTACATGATCCAAGCCCAAAGGCTAAAGTGAAACATTTACTTGATTTTATGAATGATCAATTAAGTATATCTAAAAAAAAAAAAAACTAAAATAATGCTGAAATCCAGAGAGTAAAGCTAAACACACACAAAGTGTTTTTGTTGTCTACAGAAACACAAAACAACATATAAATCAATCAAAACACAGATTTGTATCTTCTCTCCTCTGACAGCATCCCAATGCCCTGACAAACACTTACAGCGTGACCAATAAAGGAAAACAATACTCACATTTACTTCAAAACATATGAAAATCTAATTGTTACTGTAGCATCACAAGAAGTTAAACAAGTTTTTAGAAAAAACTAAAATGTCAGAAAGATCCTTAAGCTTCTTGCAGTTTCATATTAATCTATTATGACTGCACAGTAATAACTATGGCATTGTTACCCTTTTTTTTTCAGAAAATCCAATTTTTTTCTTATTTGTTTTAACACATTTTTTTAAATTAGCTTTTGTTTCCATTTAGCTTTAATACATTTTTATTTCAGGTTTAGTTTTAATTATTTTATAATTAATTTAGGATTTAATTATTTATTCAATGAAACAAACTTCTGAATATCTAATCCATTTTAAATTATTTTGTATTAATATTTTTTTTATTTAATAAATTCTACACACACACACACATACACACACACATATATATATATATATATATATATATATAAAACTTTTCATTGTTGTTATTTTACACCCATTTTACACCAAAGCATTTTGAATTACCACTGTATCTGAAATATGCTTAATAAAATAACAATCTTAAATTATAAACATCTTGAATCTGCAACTCTTGAGTTTTGAGGAAAAATAAATAGAATGAAACCGAAGACTAGATAGATAATTTCAGTAATCTGTCTAGGCACATTATGGGCTGTAATCTCAGTCAGTGGGTCAGTGTGTGATTGATTCTGCGCTCAGCCAGTGACTGCATTCAGAAAATGGGATCTGTGTTCAAAATGGCTGCTGGTCTTTCTCTCTCTCACACACACACACACACACACACACACACACACACACACACACACAGAGAGAGATTCCAAAACTCATTTATGAGCCAATGGCACCTCTGCAGGTCACAGTGAGAACTGCAGCAGAACCACAGCACATCTGTGTTACATTAACATTACATTTAAGAGTGTGTGTGTGAGATTGCACAATCTGGAGCTATCAAACACAGGCTCTTTAATGTTATTGTTTCTGGATTGTGTTGTAAAACTCCTGCAGTCTTTTGTATTTTTGCATTGCCTGAGGTCAATTCATCCATTCAGGCTTTTATCTTCCTCTCATGGCATCCAGTCTCAGTACACAGCTGCTTCATACAAAAGAGCTCAAACACACACCTTCAATTCAGGACATATCATTTATCATTATTGTGTGTGTCTTCTCTCCATAACGACAAATATAATGACTACAGACAAAACTAAAACATACAAGAAAACTTTTAGCACTTTAACATATACATATAATATCCAAATATTATATATTATTCATATGCTAACATATATTAATATATAATATATATCTTAATATATCATACTGTATATTATTCATGTGCGTATACTCTCCAAATGACAAAATTCCCAAAATGTTTTTAAAGGGAGGATTGGTTACACTTCTTATAGTTTGTCCCACTTCTTGGGACAAACTATAACTATTTTAAACCATTAAAACTCACTCACTCTCTTTCTCACACACACAAAGTTTGTGTTTATTTCTGTAAGTGTCCAGCCGTTTTTCCACTTCTCCTTGTATTTCTCCATTTATTAGTTCAGCGTGAACCACAGACATCATGTCTGCTGTTTCTGGAACTCCTGATTCTCACTTTAAACACACACACACACACACACACACACACAGCCGCACTTCTTTTCCCATACAAGGCAAGAGTTTATGCGAGTGGAAGGTCACAGTGGGAGAGACAGACAGACACGTCCAGCATGTTAAAGCTCATCAGCAAACCACACACAAGCTCAATGCAATCCACTCACACAGAGAGACACTTTGTTCTTTCATCTGGTCTCTTAGAGATTATTTTTAGTTTAAAGTGTATTGAAGACAGCCTCCTTTGTTCTGTGGAAGTTTATGGAGGCGCGCCGGCGCCTCTAGTGGACAAACTAACACACTTCAGCGCATTAAACTTATTTCAAAACACCAAACTTTACCAGAGAGAGCTTTTAGAGAGTTTGATTTTTAAATATGGAGTAAAGTTTATGCTAAACGTTACACTAGAACTTGAAATACATATTGTCTAGGGAACAGACATTTTGCAGTGTTGATGGCACAACACGTGTTGATGTCTTACTTGGTGTAATTTCTCATATTTTACTGAAGCTTTTCGGATAAAAAACAAAACAAAAAACTGTCCTTTGTGGATCTACTGTCCTGTAGCAACTTGTGAAGAATCGGTTACTTTTAAAATGTAAACTATGTTATATTCCAACATTCCAAGAATCTAATTTGAAACAGTAAAGTGTTTCATTACACATTTATAAACACTCGCAAGCACTTTTACACACAAAGTCTTACAGGAAAGAATGTTTCTCCTCTTGAGAGAAAGGGACTTGTCAGCAAGCACACACACACTCCATACTTCAGTAATCTAATAGAAAACAAACTCGCTGCCTGCAGGAATGCTGAGAGTTCAACACAAAGAAAGAATGAGAAGAAAGAGGGACAGATGCTGGAGAGAGACAGAAAGAGAGCAGGTGGTCGTTGTTTGGGCCGGGGCTTTAAATGTAAAATACAGCAGCAGCTGATGAGAGACGCCGTCCCTTTAAACTTTAAATGTCCATGATTGTCTGTGTGTGTATGTGTTTCGGGGAGTTTCCAGGGTTCTGGTTGCCGAGGGTAACCTCGAGCTGAAAGGGGCCCTTCATCCTGTTTTTGTGTGGAGAGGAAGGAATGAGAGCAGAGAATGAGGGGGAGTGGAGGGGTGACTCAGTGCCAGATGGCAGGGTGTGGTGTGACGGGGGCGGGGTGGACTGAAAGGAAATGGGAGGGTCAGACTCAGGGGGATGGACTGTGGGCGGGGTTTCAAACATGCTCACTTGCGCACCCCTGGTGCATGAACAGTGCAACTGCAGTGTACAAAATATTAAGATGAGATATTTAGTATATTGCATAAAGTAACAACTAAAAAGTGCAAAAGTCACAAAAAATTATGGTAAAAAAAATCCAGTGGCTTGAATGTGTCCAAAACATTTTGAATAAAGAATCATATAAAACTT